GAATTTTAAGGCGGCCACTGGCCTGCCGAGTGTGGGAGTGTCAGGCAGCCACTGGCCTGCCCAGTGTGGGAGTGTCAGGCAGCCACTGGCCTGCCCAGTGTGGGAGTGTCAGGCATCCAGCTGCACACTGCTGTTAGCAGGTCTCCCCAGCACGTGGATGGCCTGGGTGCAGCACAATCTGATCTACGTCTAACTCTCGGTATTTTAAGGGTTTGACCCAGGAGATCCAATCAAAGCCTAAACGCTACTTAATGCAACTTTGCAAAAGGGAATCAATATATATATATGGCTTAATGTGGATAATGGAATTGTTAATGAGAGCTATTTTATGCTTTCCAGGAATACATATTCCAGCTAGAGGCTGACAAACTGGATTCTGGGAAAGGGAAGTGCTCTTACGACCCCAAACTCAACAGCGTCTCTGCCTTGATCAGTGAGTATCTGTCTGCTCATCATTTGAGGCCATAACCAGCTTCAGTGAAGCTGACAGAGCCATGGAAGCTCTTGGGATTGGAATGCATAGTGCAACTCTGTCCATTTCATTGGATTCTCCCAGTTTCCCAGCCCAGTAGATTATCCTCACAGCCTTCTAGACCAGGAACTCTCAACTATTTTTCCCCGAGGTCCAAATTCCATCTGCGACACAAAGCCAAGGTCCACTGCTCCCGATAAAATTTTCCGGGGGGGGGGGGGGGGGGGGAGGCTGATAATGTGTCCCCATGTCCCTGTGCAGCGTCCCCCAATCGAGAACCACTGCTTTTATCCCTTTTGAATGATGTTTTTTTTTTTTTATCTGACTGGTAAAATGTTTTGGTGGAATTTGTTAATGACGCACTGTACTTCCCTTTTTCCCATGTGAGATTTATTCTGTGTTTTTGTAGATGGAGAGAATGGAGACAAAAATTGTAGAGGGTCACATTCCTTGAGTAGTGCAAAATACCAGCTGGTTAAATTATACACTAATGCAATTAACACTCATCCCAAAGTGGCATAATACCCCAAAAAGCAGCACCGCAGTACCATGATCGTGGGGGTTAATGCGTTCCCAATGTAATGGGGCTTTGTTCATCTGGCGGGATCCTGCAGCTCGTCTTGCCACCTCATGCAAACTGCTTGCCCACATTATTGCCCCCCCCTGCAATAGCCTCCATGGCGAATTGGAGCTAAGGGATGTAGGGAATGGGAAAGGGAAGAGAGCTCAATCCTCCATTCACGCCCTGCTGCCTTGCCTGCTGCCACTCAACCGCACCCCCCCTCTACACACAGCTCGACCTGCCCGTCATTTCACCTCTCACACAGCTAACCCCTGACTGCCAGCCCTTTGCTGGGCTATAGGGCCACCTGCTCGCACGCCAAACACTGGCAGCTGTGAGGAACCTACCCCCCACCCTGAACCATCCTCCCAGCTGATTAGCCCAACCCAGACCCACCCTGTGACCCATTCTTCCCGGAAATAACGTCCTTTCTCAAGAGGTCCCAGCAGCTGTTCCAAGGACGCCCCTCTGTGACCTGCCCCCCACCTAAGTTTTCCCCTGTAATCTTTCAGTGCCAGTGCTCCCCAAACCTGCTCCATGTCACCCCTGTCCCTGAAATACGACTCCTCAGTGACTCCTCAGTCTTTTCTGCATCATCCACCTTTGACTCAGTCTCCAGTATGTGTTTGTTCACCTTTCCTCACCCTTTTTCTACCCATTTTTGAATGTCTACATCACCCAAGTGATGATATTGTGAAGCTACAGCCTTTATCAGACACCTTAATTAATTGAAACGAGTCGTGTCATATATACAGTAATGGCCGAAATTATCGGCACCCCTAGAATTGTTCACCCAGAAAATTGTTGCATTTACAAATGTTTTGGTATACACATATTTATCTCCTTCATGTGCATTGGATCAACACAAAAAACAAAAATGGAGAAAAGTTGACTCAACCTTTCAGTTGTGTGTCTGTGCCACACTAAGCATGGAGAACAGAAAGAAGAGCAGAGAATTGTCTGAGGACTTGAGAACAAAAATTCTGGAAAAATATTAACAATCTCAAGGCTACAAATCCATCTCCAGAGATCTTCATGTTCCTTTGTCCACTGTGCACAACATAATCAAGAAGTTCACAACAGCAACTGGCTAAAGCCAGACTGGAGTTTGCCAAAATGTACTTGAGGAAGCCAAAATCCTTCTGGAAGAATGTCTTGTGGACAGATGAGACCAAGGTAGAGCTTTTTGGTAAAGCTCATCATTCTACTGTTTGCAGAAAACAGAATGAGGCCTACAAAGAAAAGAACACAGTACCTACAGTCAAACATGGTGGAGGTTCTAAGATATTTTGGGGATGTTTTGCTGCTTCTGGCACTGGATGCCTTGACTGTGTGCAAGGCATCATGAAATCTGAAGACTGCCAAAAGATTCTGGGGCACAATGTAGGGCCCAGTGTCAGAAAGCTGGGTCTGCGTCAGAGGTCATGGGTGTTCCAGCAGGACAGTGACCCCAAACATACCTCTAAAAGCACCCAGAAATGGTTGAAGACAAAGCGCTGGAGAGTTCTGAAGTGGTCAGCAATGAGTCTGGATCTAAATCCGATTGAACACTTGTGGAGAGATCTCAAAATTGCTGTTGGGAGAAGCCACCCTTCAAATCTGAGAGACCTTGAGCAGTTTGCAAAAGAAGAGTGGTCGAAAATTCCAGTTGAGAGGCTTGAGAAGATTGTTAATGGTTATAGGAAGCGATTGATTTCAGTTATTTTTTCCGAAGGGCGTGCAACCAAATATTAAGTTGAGGGTGCCAAACATTTTGTCCAGCCCAATTTTTGAGTTTTGTGTGAAATTATGTCAAACTCGGCTTTTTTTCCCTCAGTTTTTTATCTTGTTCCAATGCACATAAAGGAAATAAACATGTGTATACCAAATCATTTGTAATTGTAACAATTTTCTGGGAGAAATGGTGCATTTTCTGGAAACCCGGAGGAAACCCCAAGATAACACACGAAGGCACCCAAACCCCAGAGCATTAAGCTGAAACATACCTGACAGTAGATGGGCACAGTACCTCCTCTGTCCATCCACTCAGTCATACCACCCAGCTCTAACCCCACCTAAGCAGGCCTGCCAGTTTGTGGGCATAGTTCCTCATCTGTCTGTCCACTCAGCTCTAACTCCACCTAAGCAGGCCTGCCAATCCTTGGGCATAGTGCCTCCTCTGTCCATCCACTCAGCGTACTCTCTGCCCTGTTGGCTGAGCAGACCAGCAGGTCCCAGGCCACTGCATGCATGTCTGTGTGACAACTTGTTTCAATTAATTTGCACAAGGTGTTGTATTTTGGGGGTGGGGGGACACACCCATGACCCAGTGTGTGTGGTGCCCAGGCTTCTGTAAGAGGATCCATTGTGCTGAGTGCCAGTGGTGCGTCGGTCTGAACATGAGAACGACTGTGGAAGGTCTGTGGTATCCAGGCTCCCGCTCTACTTTCTGCAGATGGTGAGCTGTATGCCGGTGTCTACATCGACTTCATGGGGACTGATTCTGCCATTTTTCGGACTCTCGGACAGCAGACCGCCATGCGTACAGACCAGTACAACTCAAGATGGCTAAATGGTACCAGTTCATCTGGATCCTCTTTTCACACCTGTTTCCAGTGGAATAGATGCACTGCAGTTAGATCTTAATAGCTCCTTATTCAGACCCACACATGAAATCTCATCCTTTTATTTCATTTAGTCAGTCATGTTTCCTGGAGCCATAGTGTGTAATGTTGTATAAGCACTTCATAAACAAGGCCCAGGGTAAAATTATATTAAAAGCAATATTATAAGGGCAATGCCTAATGTGTTATTAGAGACAGTGTTATATGAAATTGACATGCAGGAGCTAGGATTTGCACTGAAACCTTAGTTTATGATGTAACATGGTTAAAATTTGGTGCAATGCTGTGCTAAACAGTGTAAAACAGTCTTATTTGTTATTTTATGTTATTGTTAGAGACTGACACTGTGTTAGATGCGGGGCATGAACCAGAGGCCTGTAACAGGAAAGGAGAAGCTGACTAGGAGTAGAGTGGTCCGTCTGCGCTGACTAGGAGTAGAGTGGTCCGTCTGCGCTGACTAGGAGTAGAGTGGTCCGTCTGCGCCTCGCTCCTTCCACACCTGCTGCTTGCCTCTTAGTCACTCTCTCTCTCCTCCAGACCCCTCGTTCGTCCACGTGCACCTCATCCCCGACAGTGCGGAACGAAATGACGACAAGCTTTACTTCTTCTTCCGTGAGAAGTCATCTGAGGTCGGCCAGAGTCCAGTGACTCAGTCCCGCATCGGACGGATCTGCCTGGTGAGTCGCCGTGGCCCTTGGCGCCGACACCGGGGACACGGGGGCGGCAGATAGCGTCCATGAGTTTGCACAGCCCAAAATCAACAACCGTCCACCCCCTCCTGGGTCCTGTGTGGCTGACATGCTTCGGCATGGTCTGCAGTGCTCGTGTCAAAATAATCAATTCAGGGAGAAGACTTTGAAAACCTCCCCTAAACCCTATGGTCTTCTCCCATTGGGGTAGCCCAGGAATCCCTGTGGACCTGCTTAGGGAAGCATGAAGGAAAATGGCAACCCCAGGAGAGCTGTGCAACAGGGCAGTAGGCCGGCACCAACACATCAGGGTAATGTTTAGTCATTGTGGATAAACGGAGAGGTTATGGCGCATCTCTGTGGGCTGTTTGTGTACACACACAGAGCAGTGTTTACCTAGCCGAGGGAAAAGCACCTCTCCAGCTGCCAGCCCTGCTGTGTTTATCGGAGCAGGACGGCCCCAGAGGCAGGACCAAACTTCTACTCTCCCAGTGTGACACCAGCTATGGGACCCCCTTGCATCTGGGCCCAGGAATGCAAATGAAGCAGAAACACAAATGGAAAACTGAAGGAATTCAGGGGCTGCATTTGGGAGCCCGGGCAAATTTAGTATCCCTGTATTTCAAGTTATGTCTCTAATTTGAAATGTGAAATATGGGAAATAGGGGCAGATTCACCGCAAGCGACATGTTTGTGCTAAATCTTGAGGGCATCATGCTTCTTCCCCAAAAGATGCAAGGTCTTAGACAGAGGCGAGTATATTTAGAAGCGAATGTGGTGCTTGTGGGGGGTGAAATTGTAAATCACATAAAACGGGCTGTGCTCGCCTGCAGTATGTCGGCTGGTGGCTTTCCAGAGCTGGTGGGGGGGGGGTCTCTGGCGCAAGCGAGGGAGGGGGGCCTGCGCCAAGCTGTCACTTACGGCATGTTAGCCTTCCTTTATTTAAACTGCACTGAAGCCCTGGGCATGTGCATTGTCATAGCTCTGTGCCTGCCCCCCCCCCAAACCCCCGCTTTCCCCACAGAATGACGATGGGGGCCACTGCTGTCTGGTCAATAAATGGAGCACCTTTCTGAAAGCACGGCTCATCTGCTCCGTGCCGGGGAGCGACGGCATTGAGACACACTTCGATGAGCTCCGTGAGTTCCCTGCAATGTCTGCGCACACGCCCCCGCGTGTGTGTGTGTGTGTGTGTGTGTGTGTGATATATACATTACACTTTGTGAACCAAAAGTCCCCACAATGTGATAAAATCTGTTATTTTGATGTTGTGGGGACCACCTTTTCGGGGTAAAGGTTGTTATTATTGAGATTAGAGTTCTGCGCATAGACATGAATGGGAAGTCCCTACAGTGATATGAATACAAATGTGTGTGTGTGTGTGTGTGTGTGTGTTTCTGTGTGTGTGTGCGTGTGTCGCAGGAAGGCCAAACCCTGGCCCCTCCATGTTTTCCTGATCCCATTCAGAGCTTTAGTGTTTCAGAGCATGGTTTCGTATCTTTAATCTCCGCTGATTGTCTTTGAGGAGTTGCTCTGCTGCTGTCCCTGTCGGTCAGACTCATTGGACCAGACTCAGAAATATATTTCCAAACTCTAGTCAGAGGTTATACCCCTGTCTAAGCCACTTAATGTCACAGATTTTTATATCGCAAGGCTTCTCTTAACAGGGCTACAGAGCAGAAACCTTTCCAGGAAAGCCCTCCTGGGTCGGCATGGATCTTATTACGTGCATCTACTGCCTTCCTTTGGCTAGCAGAGGTCAGCTCAGTTTCAGAGGAAAATGTGAAGAGAAATGGGAAACAATCCCCTATACAGAGGTTCTCCTGGGCTGCTTCACTTCCCCAAATCTACCCCCACTGCTGCTATTTTGCCCCCTGTGTCTTTTGTCCTCTGGGTATTGGGGGGAGGTATACAGCTCAACTAATGTGGAAATGAAGGGCTGGAAATTGAGCTGCTGACATGAATGTGGCTGGAGTGTCTGGGCTGATTTCCAAATGGGGACCAGCAGACCAGTGATGACCAGGGAAGAGTGAGAGGTCGGTGATGGTCTGAGCAGAGTGAGAGGACGGTGATGGCCTGGGCAGGGTGAGAGGACGGTGATGGCCTGGGCAGAGTGAGAGGACGGTGATG